CTAATATTAATGAACATTTACAGAGATTTTGATTTTCCATTCATTCATCATTACACTATTATTTTTTTTTACTTTATTTTATTTTGTTTAATTGTGTGTGATCTGATTGGATTTAGCCATCTATGAGCTGTGGGCTGAAATCGTCCTGAATAGAGTCAGTCAGCACTTGACCTATTTAAAAGGTTTTTTTGTTTTTAATTTAAAAATCAGTGGGGGCCTCAGTAAATCTTGTTTGTAGGCTCATGTGTGAAAGAGTTGTATTGTGAAAGGTGTGGTCTCTTGATTAAGGGTCCGGTGTGGACTCTTTGGTTGCTTTTAATTATGTTCACAATTGTGAACATAATTGGATTTGCTGAATTTCAGTCACAATGCAAGCCTGTTTAGATTCTTTCAAGACCTGGTGTTTTGGCCTTGGTGTTTAAAAGTTGTTTGGTGCCTAAGTCTCCAGTGAGAAGGCTCATGTTTGAATTCTGAAATGTGTGTCCTTTGATGCAGGGTCCGTTATGGTCAGTTCTTTGTCTTTTCTTTCATGCTCAATACTGTGTTAGCTGATTGGATTTCCTAGATGTAGCTTAAAGATGAGAGCTGTGGGCTGAAAGCTTCTTTTTTTAAAGTTGGTGAGGACCTGGTGGGCTGGCCATTGTATTTAAATTGGTTTGGGGCCTCAGTATGCCTCCAGTTTGGAAGGCTGTGTGTGAAGCAGTTAGATTCTGGGTGTGTGTTCTCTTGTTTTACAATAGGTTCAGGTGAAGCTCCCACATTAAGACAGGGTTGGAAAGAGGTGTGGCATCCACAGCCTGCTTCTGGAAAGTTTATGAGCTTGGAGAAACGATGATAGTTATTAGCACAGATTTAAATCTTTAGTTCATAGGGTCACTAGGAGTCGTGCTAGATGTTATGACAATTAACAACAACAACTTGAGATTCTTGGATATTCAAGTCTGTTCTACCTAAATTACATACTAGAACATTGACCTGGGTCCTGAAACTCAAATTCCTCACAAAAATGAGAAAATTGGTGCTATTCTCACATAGATGAAAGTACTACATCAGATATTCTCAAATATTCTCAAATCTGAATTCCTTGAGAATTTATATGCACCCCTGTTTTTTGGGACTGTTAAG